CATATTTGAGGCAAATATAGAATGTGATAAATTTACTACTTGAAAGTACAACTGTAACTAATTTGAAACTAAAAATGATAGCATGCAGTTCAAGTCTAATTCCCATCCAGTTCATCTTGCGCTATGGCAGCTATTCGCTGGCGTGCATCAGTTGCGGCTCTTCTTGGTTGGAATTCTCTGGCGTTCGCGTTAAGTATTTCACCTCTCCCTTCTACAGGTCTGTCACAGGTCAATTCGAGTGGATATAACAGCTGCAGCGGTCTCTCTAAGTATGACTTCCCAGCTCTAAGCCGCGCCCCTCTGACTACTCCATCTCGTCCTTGAATCAGTTGTTCCACTATGCCAATCTTCCATTTCCCTCTGTTGCGTTCCTCCCCCTTGATGAGTACTACATCTCCACGTGTCAAGGTTGTTTCCTTCGTTTTATGGTTGAGGTTGTGACGCTCTCTGAGGGCCTTGAGGTACTCTGTTTCCCATCTCGTCCACAGGACGTCTTTGCATCTTCGGATGTACCTGGCTCGTTTTCTGAGGTTAACATCTTCTATACCCATTGGTTCTTCTTCGGGTATCTGGTTGGGTTGCCCATACAGCATAAGGCTGGGGGTCAGCACTGGCAATTGAACGTCGTCCTCTACGTATCCAAGAGGTCTGTTGTTCACGGTTGTCTCCACGTCTAAGATCACCTCCTCTAGCTCATGCCAGCGCAGGTTTCCATTTCCAATAGCCTTGTACATGCTTTGCTTCATCACCCCGATCAACCTTTCGAACTGGCCGCCCCACCATGGGGCTCTGCTGAGGTTAAATTACCATGTGATCCTTTGTTTAGCTAGCCAGTCGTTTATCTTTTCATCTTGTCGGATCTTCTCCAACCATTTTGACGTTGCAACGAAGGTCTTCCCATTGTCAGAGAAGATTTTTTCCGGGCGTCCACGTCTTGCTATGAAACGCTTTAAACTGCGTAGGAACTCTTGTGTGGTCTGATCTGGTAACAGCTCCAGGTACACGGCTCGGGTAAGGCTGCATGCATACAGAACGATGTAAGCTTTCATTTCTTTCCTGTTCTTGCTAAAGTACTTGACAGGACCAGCGAAGTCAACCCCAATGAACTTGAAGGGCATTGATCCTTCTGTTCTCTCCTTAGGCAGGTTTCCTGTCGGCGGGTTTGCTAGTGCAATGACTTGAAATCTTTTGCAGCCATGACACTTTCTTATCACTTGCTTTGTTAGTCTTCTGAGACGTGGTATCCAATACTTTTCTCTTATCTTTGTTATCGTCAAACTAACTCCCCCGTGGAGAGTTTGTGTGTGAGCGTACATAACCAGCTTCCCACTGAACAGTGTGTCGTCAGGCAGGTAGATTGGATAGTCTCCCTGGATACGGCCTCTGCACTCGTAGAGTCCGTCTTTGTTCTTCTGAAGATTGAGTCGTAACTGATCTTCTTGAAACTTGGTCGTGCTTTGGCATCTGATCTGTGTTCGTCGTTCCCAGAACTCGATCTGGCTGTTGGTCTCCTCAGTGGTGGTTGGTCCAGTGGTCCTCTGTTGACGTTTAGCTCTGCAGTTTCGGATAAATCGAGAAACCCACGAACCAACTCCTACTTTTGCATCAACTGATCTAGTTCGTCATTGGTTTCAATGGTGAGTGCAAGAACTTCTTTGATGAGTTTTTCTTCAGCTTGCGTTTCTTTGGTTGGACTGGTGACGATATCCGGTGGCCAATTCTGTGGCTGTGCTAACCAAGGTGGTCCATTCCACCACAGGTCCGAGGTTTCATTTACTTCTCCACCTCGGCTTCCGAGATCAGCAGCGTTTTCCTTTGAACTAACATGCCGCCACTGGATGTAATGCTTCTCCTGGATTTTCTGCACCCGATTGCTGACAAAGTGTTTGTAGTTTCCACCCCCTCTGATCCAGTGAAGAGCAACGCTGCTGTCAAGCCAACAGTGGACACTTGTTATTGGGAACCCTTGTAGAGCATCTTTCACGTTGTGCACGAGATTGGTTGCCATATGTCCAGCCACTAGTTCGAGCCTTGGTATTGTCAACCCTTTCTTCGCAAGCCTGGACTTTGCAGCTACCAGACCTTGGGTTACGCCAGATGGTTGATGTGTGACTGAGTATACTGCTGCTGATACGCCCTTGCCGCTGGCATCTNGCTTGAAAACTTCTTGACATGAGTGGCTTGAATGGTGGCTTGAAAGGTGGTCTGATTGGTGGTTTAAATGCCGGTTTGAATGGTGGTAGCTTTTCTTGATCAACCCCTTCTTCGAGTGTTGGTGGGTTTCTCACGGTCCACTTCCGTAACGCTTTGAGAAGCTGCGGGAACTTCCATTCCTGCCAATCATCATCGGTACGGACTAAATCTCCTCTGATCCCTTCCAGCTTGTTCAGAGTCATTCGAACGTACCCATTCACCTCTCCTAACTTGCCCATGGTTTCCAGAGACTGTACGTTTGAGCACAGCTTTTCATAGAACTCTAAGATCTTGTTTGGGTTTGTTCCATGAATCGTCGGCAGGGACATAATACCACTTATGTAAGCGTTGACAATCTCGCTTTCTTTTCCATATTTTGTTTTTAGCATATTCTTCGCTCGTTCGTAGCCTTCTGCGGTAAACAGGAGGCCATCTATTGAGGATCGAACATGTGGCTCCAAGATTTCCTTCAGGTAGGTAAACTTTCTGATTTTCAAAATATCTGCTGCGTCAATTTCCGCTGAAAACTGACCCCAAAATCGCAGCTAGTCGGCGGGAGTGCCTTTGAAGTGAGTGATGACAAGTTTAGGCAGTTTCGCGTTGATGTTTTGATCATTTTTCTCATCGATCTTCTTTTCGTACTTGAGCTTTTGCTCCTATTTGGCTTTTTCAAATCGCATTTCTTCTTCGTACTTTTTCTCCCCAAGCTGTGCGGCACACTCTTCTTTTTTCGTGGCTTGTGTTTCACTGCTCTGAAATTCCTTAATTGCTGCGCTGAGGTAATCGATTGTTTTCTCAAATTCACCCACGCCTTCTTCAATATTCGCACTCCATTCCAGGATTTCTTCTTCTTTGTTCCCTGCTTCAGACATCATTTCTTGTATGGTAGTCTTAAAGTCGTGGACCTCTTCCACCTTCTTCAATGTATTCCGTAATCTCTCCACGCTGGTGATGTTTTTCTTCTCAATTGCGCTAGTTGTTTGGTCTTGCGTAAGCTTGAGTAGTTGAAGCTTCGCGTTGATTGCTTTGGTCAATTGTTGAACTGTTTTCGCCATATTCGGTGATTCCTCTTACAGGGTCCCGGCAGGGTCGCCACTTTTGTCGTAAATGGTTTAACGGCAAATAATCACTCTGGTTTCACTTTGATTCTCCTTTATTCTCTCTGATCCGCTCTGGTTATTTCACGTCTCTCGATCACAATACATGTACAATGGATTACATAATAGTTCAATGTTCAAGTAGTTCATATTTCATTGTCATGCAAAGTTCATGTTTCAATGTAACGCTTTCATCGCCGACAGAAATCATTCTCGATCGTAGTCCTCGTAGCTGGCGAGAGCATCTCCAAATTTTGGAAGGCAAAATTTCCGATGCTTCGGATATGATAAACGGAACTTGTATACTTGTGAGATGATGCCAGTCAAATTCGGAAGGTCATCCAGCACTATCGCAAATTGAACCGAAAAAAGCTTTCGGAAACTTGTGATCTGGTAGAATAGTGTAATTGTATCTACCACAACTGATAAGAGAAATCAAAGAGTAGCAAAGAAACCCACAAATTATTCAATCTCTCGGTCTTTGGTAATAATACTCTTAGTTCAGATAATTTTATTTTATGGAGAGAGACATGTAAATATAAAATGAAATTCAAGCCATGTTCCTGCGAGTTTGCAAAGTCAGATTTTCAGAAATCGAATGTACGCTAACACGCATATTAGTCAGTCTCCTTGAGAAGCGTTTGTGTACTGTTGTTCTTCTAACAACCCTTTAATTTACCTTATTGTAGCAGTGATTTATTGATGCATCTGCCTTGAAGGTTAGCCTGTTGAGTACGCTTTCTATCGACACTGGTGTTTACAAGTGTCAAAATGTGTCAAACTGCAGGAGATAAATTTATCATCGTTTCTTACTGGCGGCGTGTTAAATGTTGTAACGCCACTTTGAATCTCTGATATCAACTTATCAACAACTCTTGAGGTGGTCTGGTAGTATAAAATGCGTGCCGAAATCAAAACGTTGCATATTTTATTATCGGCTTCAAACTGGTTGAAGAACTTTCAGGATTCGAGATGATGGATCCGATTTAAGCTGGATATTAGCAACTTTAAGATCATTTTTGCACGGAAAGTTGCATTTGTGGTTAAGAGAATTGTATTCTGGGGATTGATGAATTTAATTGTTTTGATGGCGAAACACAATCACAAACTCTACGCGTGAAATTTGCGCCACATCCATGTATGATAGTTTGAATACAATAGTCAAGTAACCAACTTTTCTTTACCCAGGGTCATTCGATTGTTTTATTAGGGCACTGATGCCTTCCATTTCAGTCGCAAAATAAACATGCGCCAATTCCCTAGCACAAGAATGTACCTCTCCTTTTTGTCCACGAATTTCTCGTAATTTCTCGTTTCCATTTGCTTCTATCGTCGTGCATCTTGTGTTTTCCCTCAAGTGAACTGTTTTCATGCAACTCTTATGGCAGGATCGATCAGTTTTTCGGAAGGGCGCGCTTTCCTCTCGATTCCCGACTCTACCGTAAAACAGATCATTTCAAGGTTCTTTGGCTTGTTTATGTGCCCGCGTTTCAATGCATCTGTCTCCTTATACTAAAATTTGACTGGGCAGCGGCTTATTGCTAAACAATAGTAATACATATTAGCGGGAAAGCGGGAAAGCTTTATCCCCACCATATGAAAGATTTAGGGAGATGCTAATTGTAAGAAAAAGTATCACTTCTGACGGGCTTTTTTTCCCCTTCAACATGCAAATTCAAGCAAAATCGAGCAAATTCATCTTGTTTTCATTCATTTCAAAAAAAAGTCAAAGTATGTGACCAAAAAAAGCGTCATGCGATCTTGGTACACTGTTGATGGCTACAAGGCTAATAAAGCTGACGCTTATCTTTATATGTATTTTTTTTTCATAAGGTGACACGAACATTAGCATTAACATGCTGCATACTTCTTTAATTCAGTTAAGCTTAATTTGTAGCTATTTGTTAAAAAGTTTTCTGAAATATAAAATGTATTTTCTTCGAGTACTGAGAGTTTTGAGATTTTGCTATGCCTTTACGGACCCAAATAGTTTCCGGGGCTTTCGAGAAACGGGCCCCAGGCCGCTTAAGGGCGCTCTTGGTATGCAGTGGGGAGCGATGAGAGGAGGCTATATTGTGGCTGTATTACAACATGCATTTTTAAATTATTTCACAGGAAAAACGACAAAGATGTATTTTGTCATAAAAGACCTTTTATTACGAATTTTACAGTTAGAGCAGCTCAGTGAAAGAATATGTTCAATAAATATTCGAGAAAATAAGAACAAGATTCAGTAGACTTGTGAGTCAGTTTTTGCTGTTCTTGTTTAGAAGCGGTCATACAGCATATACTTGCTTATACATATAAAATTGCATCATTAGACAAAATACTGGAACTAAACAGATTTGATCTTTCTAACTGCGTCCAGAACAAAAATGCAACATGACGTGTATGCAGTCGGTGTTACTTGAAGAACTGATGATCCAGGACATCATTTTTTCTGATCATCTCTTCCAAAGAATGTATGGATAACTTGAGAACTAGGGAAAAAATAACGTTTTATTAAGAGTGCTCAGGTCCTGGTAAATGCGAGGTATTGAAATGATTGAAAAACCCAAAACAAGTCATGTTCCATGACTTTAATACTAATGCCTTTTATGTTACCGGGGTTTAGAATTCTCCAAAAGTGCATGTAGCAGGTAACACTTCTGCTGTTTAACATGCAAAACCGGAGAGGAATGTGAGAGGAGTCCACCCAAACACACATGATGCACCGGTACTTTCGTTTTCTTCTTATAACAACTCTCATCTAGTCCTGTATTTTGTGCTATTGGCAAGAACTTCAATATTTGCCACCTGTATGTTATTCCTATGCTGCTATGAGATTGTTTTCACCCGTCAAAGCAGTTAAAAAAACTAGTTACTAATTCAGGAACATTTTTTTTTACTTACTTTGGTAGGTATTTCCAAACTGTTGTTTAAACGGGTGTTCCCGATTGTCATATGGATCTCCCATGGGCTCATACTCTGTCTCAGAGGCACAAAGCAGATTCCATCTTATCAAGTCCTTTCTTTAGGTGCTTTAAAACTTCAAGAGCCTCGTCAATTGGGTGTAAAATATTTTCTTCAGAGGAAGAATCGTGATGTCTCTTGCCGGTATTCATGTTAGATGCTTAAGTTCTCATCAGCCACTACACGGGTTCTTCGTTCGCTATGTATTTTTAGTTCTCGAAAATTAACATGCAACACTCTCACTTTCGTGACGTTGTACAACAACTCAAACCAGGAGCCATGGGCTCTGTGAAGACACGCACCAAAAACAACCGCAATTTGTTGTTCCATTGAACAACACGCAAGTTAGTTACAATTATCACGTTACTGATCTGTACAAGGCACAATCTGACATGCTTTTCAACTATAAAGGAAGGGCTGATAATTTTAATGTAATGACGAACGCAAAAGACAATTTTTCTGAACATGAAATTTTATTTTTCAGTGTCAGGTCGTGCAGAGTTTCCTTTTTCGATTTGTTCCATGTTTCTTTTGCGTGACTTGCTTTGCATGATATTTTTTTGGCACTTTTTCTTGTGCAGAATTTTTTTTGGTAATTGCCCAATCCCGCCCCCCTCCCCTCAATGTGGCCATTGAAATAGCCGCCAGTATGTCTTTATAAATACAGGCGTTTAGTGTGTGTTTGTAAAACTCCCCGAAGAGAGGTTTACGATAGTTAGAGGAAATGCGTTGGAGAATAAACAAGTTTTACAACGTCAGTTCGCAGAGTGTTGCTCACTAGTTTTGGTTTAAAAACATTACTCTAGAAAAATTGTCTTGAGAAATAATTTGCAATTTAACCGGAACATATAACCTGACCGGAAACCCACATTGTTCCGAACCCAACCCACTGTTTAATTCTCACACTGGAAAACCTTGGCCAGAAGGCATATGTATTAAACCGTAGCCATTTATTGTCTTTTACAACATAAAGTGTCAATTATCTTTTGATGCAAGCCATTTTAACAAAGTTTGAAAAAAAGTTCATTTCCAACCTTATAGTTAACTACTCAGCCGTGAATATTTTCCATTAGTTTTTTGCCTAGTTATTCAATTTCTTAGTCTTCGGAAGAGCGTTCATATACCTAGCTGACACTAGTTCCTTGTGCATGTCGGGAAAACAAAGCAGGAATCTCTAAAAGGGGGAAGCTCTAAAAGGGGGAAGCTCTAAAAGGGGGAAGCTCTAAAAGGGGGAAGCTCTAAAAGGGGGAAGCTCTAAAAGGAGGAAGCTCTAAAAGGGGGAAGCTCTAAAAGGGGGGATCTCTAAAAGGGGGAATCTCTGAAAGGGGGAATCTCTAAAA